TAAAATAATACTAATAATGACAAATAATAACAATGAAATTTCTAAAATAAGAAGGTTATGCGTATTCGGGCATAACATTATCCCTCCCTTGAAGGATGAGCTCCCGCGAATCGTCTAAGACAAGACCCATTTCACTACTTCTACGGGTTTGGGCTTCTAACAATAGTTGATCCGTGAAGTCCTCCTCATACATTTTTTTGAGAATAGAGATAGAAATATGCTCCACCAAGTATATATACCATTCTCCACGAGCAGTAAAGAGTTGGTAAGTTCTTTTGGACATTTTCAAGACAATCTTCCCTTTTCCCGTCGTAAAGTGCAGTCGTAATTTCCTTTTTGCAATTTCGCTCCATCCTTTTTCGGCCATAACACTTCCTAATTGATAATAAATCTCTAGAATTTGAGCGTTCGTCTTCAGTCTGGGATTTAAGTCAATAATTTCCTGACAGCAATGATCCAATTTCGCTTCCCAGTCTTCTCCCGGAACCTCTAAAGGAAGAACGAGATCCTTTGGATCTCCTCGATCTAGATCTTGTAAGTAGATAAACATGCTTTCTCTAATTCTTTCAGCCAACGTCTTTCTTTCAGGTATAACAATATTTTCGGAGACTTCTTGGTCAGCCACTTGAAGAGTTACTTGATCGCAGTCTAAGAGTATAAGTTCTCCAGGATCGAGAACGGCTGCCAGTCTTTGCACGTAGGTCCTAATATCGTTAAGTCGGTTTTCCATTCGGTTACTAAAAATTTTTCCTTCTTTTTTTTTTTTTTTTTTTTTTTTTTTTTTTGGATCAAATTACCCTTCCTTTATAATAAATTTTTTTTTAATTTAATTTATTTTCACCTTTATTGGTTTCAGTAGGGAATAAAACCGCGGATTGATCTATAAACAGTTTCAGCTGGCTGCCATGCACACTTTGCGCTAATACTTTTCCCTCTAATGTTCTTAATTTGTAAGCGCCATTCCCAAACACTTCGTGTATCCAATAGGGCCCGAGCCATTTGGGTTCCAACTTTCCGCCTTTTCGTGAATCGAGCTTGGCTCTATATCGCCAAACCTTATCCCCAATAGAAAAGCTGCGTAAAGAGTGTCGACCATCGTGTTCTAGTTTCTGCTTTTCCTATTTCCTAAGGCTATAGCACGTGATTCCTTTAAGTTGTCAATGATGGATACTATTCGGGTAAGGATCGATGCTTGTACCGTTTCCTCACGTATTTCCTCGAGTGGATATGTAGTTACATCTAACTCAACAGGTAACCTAGCTTCTCGACCATAAACTAGATAAAATGGCTCGTATTGTGTAGTATTATGTCGCATCGTTCGGTAAGTAAATAGTGCTAGTTGAACAAATTCGTCCCAATCGTCGGCATATTGGATCGTACATTTAGCCAGTATTTCACACAGGGTTCGATTGAACCTTTCGACTTGACCGTTCGTTTGCGGGTGATAGGTGGAGGACAACCTATGCTTGATATTTAATTGCTGACATAATCCTTCGATCTCTTTGTTATCAAAATGTTTACCTTGATCAGATATAATTTCCTTGGGGCTACCGTGCCTACAGATGATCTCATCAACTAGAAACGAAGCCACCGATTCAGCCTTGCAGTCAGATAGAGCACGTACTTCAGGCCATTTTGTAAAGAATTCGGTAGCTACGATCAGATACCTATTACCCCTTTTAGTCTTAGGCAATGGTCCCACAAAATCAATCCCAATTCGATCAAATGGCTGAGAGGGTTTTATAGGATGCAACGGCTCGTGAGTCGTAGGCCGACCTCTCTGCTGACAGATCTCACACCCCTTCACAAAATTTTTAATGTCAGATATCATTTGATCCCAGTAATATCGTTTGGTGATTTTGTATATGGTCGTCCTTTCTCCTAAGTGTCCTCCTATTGCACTTTCGTGAGTTGCTTCCAAGATAACTCTAACTTCTTTTCGTCGTATTACCCTTAGAGGGTTCTGAGGCTCCTTAGTATTCTTTCTGTATAAAATGCCTTC